AAAAAAAAAAGAAAAAGGATAAGACTGAGAATAGGTCAATTCTTTTCCTGGCTTTTCGCCTTCCTTCTACAGTAGGTTCTTTTCTTCCCCTTTCTTTTTTCTTTTTTTCCTTTTCTTTCTCTTTCTTTCATTTTCTTTCTTTCTTCCTTGTGTTTCTCTCTCTCAGTATTATCCTTCGTATCATACTTCCACTAAAGCCCATGACCCTGGCCTCTCAGGGAGGGAAGTAGCAACATGAAAAGAGATAGCCTGGGTCTTCTTGAATTTTGTTCATGAATGCTATTCCCAGAGCGAGGAGAAGGATAGAGTGTAGAAAAGAATTTGCATCAGGAATCCAGAAGAAAACAAGCTTTTCTGCCAGGAATGAGACTGTCTTTGAGGTTGGGGGGCTGGAGAAGAGGAGAGGGCGTCTAGGGGGGTCTGGGGGTAGTAACTTGCATCCTGCTCGCCGGGCAACCTCACAGGAAGGCATCAACCCCTAGATATGGAAGAGCTGCAGGATACAGCCAAGGAGATGAGACCAGAAGCAGCCACACGGATATTCCCATGTGTCTAGCGTGGCATGGAAGAGGCTGGAATTGGTGGGATCTGAGCAAGCCATGTGAGTCTGGTCACCGGATTTCTCAACAGTAACCTCTGTACAGAGCCGTGCCCATGAGCAGATTGCCTCCCCCACCCCTTCACGCACATTCAGGCTTTCTACCCTGTGTGGTTCTAGCGCCCTGGGAAAAATAGGAGTGGGAAGGAGCATGCTCACAGATGGAGACTGATTTCTACCAAACTGGTAGGAGGAGCCCTCTTTATTTGATTATGAAATATAAGCTCATTTTCCTATTTCTGTTGAACTGATTATAATTTGTTACTGTCACGTGCATTTTAATGTTTAGATTCGATCAGGAAGAGTCGCTTCAAGCTCGCTCCTGTCTCCTTTCAACATTCTTCATCCTTCTTGGAACATTTCCTTCTATCTGCCTCAGCCAAATATTCAGGCTCATTTTACACGTTCCCTCTAGGAAGCCCTGCTTCTTCTCAGTGGGAACGTTATTGAGAAACCAAAATTGGGGTGCTAGGTATGCACATGGCCACTGGAGTGTCACTGCCCTTAGGGCTTCGCCAGGCGGAAATTGAAGAACACACGTGTGGATGTACACACGCAAGTGTGCGCGTGCGTGAGCAGCCCTCTCCCCACACATGCGCACTTCCATCTAGAATTGATTCTAGTTTTTCTTTCTTCTCTTCCCGTATCTATAAATCCTTTCTACAATATTGAGAAACTGGGCTCCTATTATCCTCAATACATTTCTTGTTTTGTTATTCCCCTCCGTACAAGACCAAACTCGCATTGCTACCACCTGCCTTGGACTCCAGCATCCCCCTTCCCCCACAGATACTCCAGTGCCATCCCCACATGCAGATACTCTTCTGGCAACTTTCAGGGCCCATATCCTTTTTTGGGTCACCACGTACCCCACTTACATCTCAGCATTCCTTACCAGCTTGCCACAGCTGTCCACCACACAAGTTGCCCTCTTCACGCAGCTTGGACTCCAGTGACCAACACTAGACCAAGTGACATTTGCTCAGTCCACTCAGTCACCAACTGCCCATGTTCGCCCCCATCTACCACCACAACACTCTCCTCTCCTCTCCAGAGCAGACTCTGACAACCTGCACCACAGCACGTGGATGTCGTCCTCACCCATTTGGGCTTCCAACAGGCCACGTTGCACCTCTACCCAGTAACCTCCATCATGGGGATCGATCTTGCTCAGCCCATCTAAAAAGCCATCTAAAATGGCTTTTAGACTGAATTCTTAAAGAAAGAAGATGAACATTAAAAAAAAAATCTTTTTCTGGGGCACCTGGGTGGCTCAGTCAGTTAAGTGTGGGACTCGGTTCCAGCTCAGGTCATGATCTCAGCGGGGAGTGTGCTAGAGAGTCTCTCCCTCTTCCCCTCCCTCCACTCGTGTGTGTGCCCACGTGAGAACTCTCCCTCTCTCTCTCTCTCAGATAAATAAATCTTTAGGAAGGGTTTTCTATGCTGCTTTTTCATAGTTTCTATCATTTCCCTCATTTCTTTTAGTTCACTTTGAAATCTCACATTGAGTTTCTATCAATTTTGCAGCCGTCTTTTTCTGGCACCCTTCTGTTTTCTGTAAGTATGGTGTTTAGTGCACTTGTCTCATAACATTACATGGGGTTTATGTGCAGGTCTTTTACATCATACACGTTTAAATTAAATGTGTTTTTCCAGGAAGATCCCTATGTTGGAGTTGGCAGTGGACAGAGTCGGGAGGTAGGGAGGGCTTTCCTAGCTTCATCTCTTGAAGGCAGTAAAAGGGAAGTACTTAAAATTTTTCATCTCTCCAGAGCAACCTCTACAGTGATTTCCAAGTGTTGCTACCTGCTATTTCCCATCCCACCAACATTCGAACTTTGTCTTAAAACCTTAGCCTGGATTCCCGGCTCAATTTCGCTTCTACTGACTGTTCCTTTCTTCCTTGGAATGGAACTTTATGTTTGTGGGAGGAATTTCAGTGACGTATTTTCTACATGTCTGAGATCTTTGAGGGCTGAGGCCACCCGAGCAGATCTTGCTAGCAGATGGCACTTTGCTTTTGCTGTCCTAGCTATTCTGCCTTACTCATGAGAAGATTTGTAGAGGTTCATAAACCACGCTGCTGTATCTCACTTTTCCCAACTGAAAGACCACAGTCCTACCTTGATGGTCCTAAGCAAAGATTTAAAATCAGCCCATGAAGTTTGAGGCAGGTGCTCTCAAGCTCCAGACTCACAGCCTTTTCCCAGTCGTGGGAAAAGAACACGCATTCTTCCAGAGGCTACTTCCTCTGCCTGAGGGCCAGTATCAGTCTGTGACAGAGCTATAACTATCCAAAGTGCCGAAAGGGAACAAATAATGTTTATGTTTCCAGTTTTTCTTTGTCGCTGTGAGCAGCACCTCCAGAATAAATCAGGCAATCCGTACGTCTGTGTTGAATACTTACAGGGCACATTTTAAAATATTCAGCAGTCTTCTTAGAGCTCCGTCCATGGGAAAACATGAGATCAAACAGTGAGCCCAGGATCCTATAATATGTCCATGTAGAGTATATCATATCTCCGTATGATGTTCCGGGGCCGGCCTCCTGGTATTTCAGTTCAATCAAGACTGGTGCAAAATTTGTGAGCAGAACAGAAGTTCTTTGGTGTGGTTTTCTGAGAGCTTGTCGATCATGAGCACGTTTCTATTGGGTTTCTAGGATTTTACACACATTTCTATGAAAGAAACCCTGTTTTCCTACGATGAATAATCCTCCAGATTTCTAGTTCCGTACAATTGGTTTGTCTTCCTTTGATCAATTTTTCCTGTCTCAGTCTGTCTCCGAGTAAGGAATCCAAGGAATCTTTGGCCAGAATGAGTGTTCTGGACTGAAATCTGGAACTAGGGTCCATGTTCAGAGTCTGTCTTTCCTCATGGCTTCTTCTGTGTCCTATCTTTCCCCCCCCAACCACCACCATCAAATGCAAAGAACAGAGATGTACTCCACTTGGGCAAGAAAATTAGGAGGTGATGGGGTATTGTAAATGGGGCAATAGGGGAGTCAGAATCTCCTGGAAATCCAAGATGGGAAACATAATAGGACGGGCTCCGAAAGATTGGACCTGGAGGGCCAGTCTGGGTATGACGAAGCGCTGGGGGCTTTGCCACAGTGTTTTATGAAGCTTCACTTCACTTCACTCATTGTGCTAGTGAGTCTCCAGCTGCCTGTATAGTCTTCCTACTACTGGTTACCTTCTCCATCATCTCTATTGTTTCCCTTCTCTAATGTGAAGTTTCCAATTTTGACTGGTTTGGGACCATTCTAGGCACTAACCATACATCACAGTAATTCCCCTGAGAATCCCTTCATTGTTGGAAACCACTGCCAGCATCTCCATTCTATCCATATCAACGAATTAACCAGCCCTGAATGGGTGTGTCTACCATATTTTCTACTTCTCAAGATGCTAAAGTATAATATGCCTGCTAATGTGACACAATTTGGGACAAGTCCCAGTATACGTATATTGCAAATATTTCAAAATTCATTTGTGTTTTAAAATGTTTTATTATGTCTATGCAAATACAATGTGGTAGAAAACAATAAGCATTTATAAACCTGGATCCAGAGGGGAATTACTAAACCTGGGGTAATATTATATTTGTATACATAATTATTCAGCTAAAAAATAAATATAATAGTTTCTGTAGATTCTAATACATAGGAAGGCAAATGGAGCAAAAGAAAAGTTTAACCTAAAGTGAGTGAACAATAATTTAGGGATTCATTTTTGTCATTTCAGAGCTTATTATTTTGGTTGGAACACTAGAGTGAAGTCTGAAACTTTTATCTCTCCTTGACATAATCTGTTG